CTAGCCTCCTTTCTTTCCACTGCCTTTCATGCACTCTACATTCCAGTGAAATTGGACAATTGGTTTTCCTCCAAATGTCACATTCCATGTCCTGCCTACATGCATTTATGTACCTCTTGCCTACTTTACAAGCCTTCCTCATCTCTGCCTGTAAGAATCCTTATCAACCTTCAAGGTTCAGATACCAGCTCTTTTGGAAAGCCTTCCCTGATATTCCTATTTATTACTGACTTCTCCTTCAAATTCCCGTGTATTTACTAATTTATCTACATGTGGTTTCCCAAAATAGAGCAAAATCTCCCTGAGTGGAGAGACTGTATCGTTTCTTTCTAAGTACCACACCTAATGCAAAATACAGTAAGTGTTAAATAAATGTTTATTGAGTTAAGTTCAAGCGTTACTGGGAACAGGGAAAAGGAAGGGGGTCAGAATAGCACAGAGAGGCCAGCCTGGAATAAAACAAAAAGGAGGAGTCTAGAAAGTCAGGAAAGGGGGAGACATGTAAATATGAAGAAGAATTGGGATGAAGTGTCTGCCACATTTCACGGAGTGGAGTGGGGTGAGGTCTACAGCTCTTTTACAACATGTATAGGGTATCTACAAATTTTAAACAAATGCTTAATTTCTGTATGCTACTTTGCTCTGAAATACAACTCTGGTCCTTAGATACATTAAGATACAGTGATGGACAGGAAGCGCATTCTTGCAGGCAATATTCACAACTGACCTGATTTACATAGTATGACTACCTTCCCCTTTTGTCTCTCCATAAAAGGCTCCCAACTTTATTGATCACTTAACATTCCACCTCATCTTCCTTCAGGAAACAAGGAAGTCATCCACATAAAAACACCAGTAAAGAATTACTTCTAAAATTCCCTTAAAAATGAGAAGCATTATTTAGTCTTAGAAGACCTACTGTCCAAAGGCCTGAACAGAAAGAACCAAATGCAGAATTTGGTCTTCAAATTCCATTTGGTTTAAATAGTGGGAAGACAGAAGCTTCTGACACTCAGTATACTTTCTTGTAACAATATTCATACTAGCTTCTTTTGCTACTCAACTTCCCTTAAAGACAAATTCTTGTGGGTAACTTACACTCTTCACACTGTTGATATAATTTCCTCTGGTGCTTGTTTTCCCTGCTGGTTTAATGAATGGAGGGCTGGACCTGGAGTCATGAAGACATGAGTTCAGATCCAGCCTCAAAGCCTTACTAGCTGTGTGACCCATATTAGTTGGGTGACCCTGGGTAAGTAACTTAACCTCTACCTGCCCCAGTTTCCTCAACTGCAAAAAAGAGATAAGAATAGCACCTGCTTCCCTTGGTTGTTGTGAGGATTAAATGAGATATTTATAACGTGCTTAGTCCAGCGCCTGGCATGTTGTAGGTACTTAACAAATATTGGCTTCCTTCCTTTTTTTCTGGATGAGGCTGAGCCAGCTCTAGTAATATAAAATGTAATTAGTAATAAATGCAAAATCTGAAGCTTGGAATTTTTAAAAAATCTACTTTGGAAATATAAGATAGATTAAAGGATCATGGGGAGCAGCAGCTAGGCGGTGAGGTAGATACAGCGCTGGGTATGCAGTCAGGAAGACTCATCTTCATGAGTTCAAATCCAGACTCAGACAATTCCTAACTGTGTGATCCTGGACAAGTCACTTAACCCTGTTGGCCTCAGTTTCTCATCTGCAAAATGAGCTGGAGAAGGAAATGACAAACCACTCCAGTATCTCTGTCAAGGTCAGGAAAACCCCAAATGGGGTCCTGAAAAGTCAGACACCACTAAAAAATGACTGAACAACAACAACAACAAAAGAATTATAGAGCTAGAACTAGAAAGGATCTCAAGAGGTGATCTAATCCAATCCCTTCATTTTGCAGATGAGGAAAATGAGGCCCAGGGAGGTAACTTGTTTCACATAGGTAGTAATAGTCAGAGGTAGGATTTGAACCCAGGTTCTATGCCTCCTGAGCCAGTACTATTTTCTGCTACTATTACCCCATTTTACAGATGAGGAAATTGAGGCAGAGAGAGTGACCTGCCAAGGTTACACACCTACACACCTGGTAAATGACAGGCCAGATTTGAACTCAGGTCTTCTTGACTTCAGGTCCAGTGCTCTATCTACTGCACTACTTAGCTGCCTTCCTGTGAACACTCTCCAGCTTTTTATTTTCCTTCCTAAGATGTGGCAGACTCCATGGAGGTCAGTAATAAAAAGAAAGGTCACATATAGCCCTGAAATATTTAGAGCCACATTTTTTTGTAGCAGAAAAGAGTTGGAAACAAAGATGCCCATTGATTGGGGAGTAGTGGAATAAGTCACTGTAAGATATGATGCACACAGAGAGACAGGGGAAGACTTGCATGAAATCAAGCAAAACGAAGTAAACAGAACCAGGAAACAATATAAACAGTGACTAATAATGCAAACATAAAGAACAAGAACAAAACTATTAAAACTGAATGCTAAGAAAGCATAAAGACCAAGAGAAGAGACATGAGAAAATATCCTTTCTTCTCTGCAAAGGAGTGGGAGAGGGGAAGCGTGGTGCAGCAGGGGGACTATGGAAGCGTCACACAAGTGATAACAGACTTTTTTTAAAAAAATACATTGGCTATTTTTGCTGAACAGTTTTTACTTTCTCTTTTTACTCCCTGTTATAAGAGACAGACCTCTGAAAGAAGATGGGGAATACATTAGTAGGTGAAATAAAAATAAATGATAACAAAAATTTCTTTAAAAACAACAACAACTTTTCACATTCTGTAGTCCACCCAAGCTGGCCTTCTTGCTGTTCCTCTCATACAACAGTCATATCTCCCATCTCTATGCCTTGGCAGTTTTTATGATCTCATCTAGAATTTCCTCTCCCTTCATTTCCTTCTCTTGGCATCTCTGATTTTTTGCAAAGCACAGTTCAAACAATACCATTCATTTCCTTCTCTTGGCATCTCTGATTTTTTGCAAAGCACAGTTCAAACAATACCATTTACATGAGAACAGCTGCTAGCGCCTTCCCTTGCAAGGTTACATTTTGTGTTTTTGGTATGTGTTTTATATATGCTAATATATGTACTTGTTCTCTCCCCCACTAAAATGTAAGCTCCTTGAGGGCAAGGACTAGTTCACTTCTGCCTTTGTATTGCCAGCACCAAGCACATATGGTCTGAAACATAAAAAGAGTTTAATAAATGCTTGTTAGGGCAGCTAGGTAGCTCATTAGATCAAGTGTGGGGGGCCTGGAGTCTGGAAGACTCATCTTCCTGAGTTCAGATCTGGCCTCAGATACTTACTAGCTGTGTGACCCGGGGCAAGTCACTTAACCCTATATGCCTCGGTTTCCTCATCTGTAAAATGAGCTAGAGAAAGAAATAGCAAACCACTCTAGTTATCTTGGCTAAGAAAACCCAAAATGGCATCAGGAAGAGTCAGACATAACTGAAATGACTGAACAAAAACAAAAATGCTTGTTAAGTAACTTGGAGCTATCCAAATAGCTCATTGTCCTTTCAATTCACAGATCCTGCAGTTCTGAGTTTCCCCCTCCTCCAATCTGGAAGCTTATCTAAATGCTACTTGCATCACACTATTCTCCTGCTTAAAACAAAACACAGAAACCACACAAAGGCTCCCTATTTTCTACCAAATCAAATCTAAACTTCTCTGCCTCCTTTCTAGGCCCTCCATGCTCTGGCACCACCTAAGCTGGCCAACTTTATTTTCCCTTTCTCTTCAACATGCACTTTCTGCTGTGATGCTCACTCCCAACCTCCAACACTTTTTCTCTTGCTGTTTCCCATCTGAACCTGATGCCTTCCCCTTCATCTCTGATCGTTTAAATCCAAACAGCCTAGCTCATGTTCTACCTCCTCAAGAAATATCTCCTGAAAAATAGACCCATACCCATCCCCGCCTTCTCATAGAGTAGTCAGCTTATAGAACACAATACAGTCCTTCAGTTTATACACATAATCTTATTTTGGGCACTGAATCTTTAATTTTACTAGTGTTTTACTGGTTCAGTCTCAATGTCACAGAGAAACTCAAATCCAATAGTACTGATTAAGTACCTACTGTGAATTAGCCTCATGCTAAGGTATTCAAGAGAAGATCAAGACAGAGTCCCTCGTGCCTTCCAGAAGTTTAGAGCCCTGATGGCCTCCCACTGTGGCCCCAAAAACTCAATGAGAAGCACTTTACTCTCACCATATTCCAGTACGGAAAAAGGAGGTGAAATTAGCAACTAAAAAGGTGACTGATGAGGAAAAGAACTCTGTGAGGGGAAAGGAACACAGGAATGATTTCCATGTGGGAATAATTAGAAATCCTGAACTATTTTAATCTCTACCTAAGATCACCCTCGACCAGAAATAAACCTATCCTATTAATGCTTTCTAGGAAAGGAGAGTCTCCAACCTTCCATGGAAACCCATCCCAATGTTTTGTCATATTCTTTCATTTAAAGCAACTCCTCCCAAATAAATAACACTTTAGCAGATACCCTATCAAATAGCATATCCCTGGAATTAACCACATGGCAGTTAATAGCATTTCATAGACTCCCAGAGTCTTCAGGTCAGAAGGGAACTCAAAGATCATCTAGTCCCAAATCCCACCCAATGCAACATCCCCGATATATAAACACACATACATGCATGCATAATCGAATACACTTTGGTAAACTTGAAGTAACTATAGTCAAGGCAAACACCAAAGATTTTAGGCAATGCCTCAGCCTATCTTCACATTTTCTTTAGTTGGAACCTGTTTCCTCCTAGGAAAAAATCTTGAGCTAGTGAAATATGAGCATACAACAGTTGAGATGCATACATAAAAGAAGGAATAATCATATCCAAATTTTTATGTTAGCAGTCTGATTCCAAATATAATCTCCCCACACTGATAATCTAGTTGCCTGGATTCTAGCAAAATAACATTTCTCAAGTACAAGAAGTAATATAAAAAGAAAATTGTATCTGTCAACTTACGTCCTGCTGGTTGACCTTTTGCCAGATCCTGGAGGTCTGTGGTAATTTGGAGGACACGACCGTAGATCTCCTGGACAGAATTATTGAGGCCAGAAATGTCTTTGGAATGGGCTACAATAGTGCCATTCATCTGACTGACACAGTTCCACAGGTTGCTGACATGCTTGTTCAGCCCTTCCTTGATCCTGTTTAGACTTCCAGAGATGGAGTCCAGTTTGCTGCACGCTTTTTCGATATGAGACACTCTGCCTCCAACAACCATGACTTCCCTCTGGACACCTTGAGTGCTTTCCTTACAGATGTCAAGGTCTGAAAGGATTTGCTTTTGCAGCCCCTGTAGCCTCACCTCCAGATGACTGCAACAATGACCAGCCGGGGCCAGGGAAGAGGTGGGCTCCTCAGTGGTCCTATCCAGATCCTCCAGCTTCCTGGAAACACTGTCTTCTGCCTTTCTGCATGTAGAAATGGCGCCTGCAAGTTGCTCTTGGCAGTTGCTCAACCCACCCTGAAGGTTTTTCACGTCTTTGTCAGTGTCATTTAGACGAGAAGAGAGTAAATTCAAATCTTGTTGCACTTTCTGGATATTAAGTTCCGTTTCCCTGAACTTCCTGTGCATTGTGTCATTTAGAGCCTTCAGAAGTGTAGAGGTGTCACCTGTCTTCTGAAGATCATCATGCTTGTTGGGATGAGTATCTTCTTTTCCGTGAGACCCTAACTGGAAGTTCTGCAGACAAAGATTCTCCACATCTTGGATTTTATTCTTCAGATGATTAAGTTCAGTAGTAACTTGACCATTGCCAGATGCTGGCAGGACGGACTCCAGGTTAATGAATTTTACATCGGTGCCATTAGCAATGTCTAGGAGACTGCTACCCAGACGGTCCTCCAGGGACTGTATTTTCTGATCCAAAAGTTGCTTCAAGTCATCCACCTCACCACTAATTGTACCACGCAGAGTTTCTTCAATGTAAAAACAATGTTCTTCTGCATTCTTCTCTGTCACATTGATCCTTGCATCCAACTCATTCCACCTTTCATCAAAACTTTCGTCTGGTTCTGGCATGGTGAGATGGTCAAATTCGTTGTCTAGCCTCCCGTTGAGCATTCTGGTGGCTTCTGAAACCCTCTCGATTTTCTGGTCTAGATCCTTGATCTGTTGCCCAAAGTCAACACTTTTATCAAGGTTACAGCAGTTTGGCTGTTTTGATGGAGCTGCCTGTATCTGAGCTCGAAGGTCACTTATTTCCTTCCTTAGACTTGTTTCCTTCTCTCCAATAAGTTCTATCATGCCCAAGTAGCTAGTTCCATAATCATCACACTGTTGTTGGATACCAGTCAGCTTATATTCACAGGAGTTTTTCAGATCTGCCATTTTCCTGTCTATTCCCTCCATCAGTTCTTCTTTCAGCGCCTCAAATTTGCTATCTACATAAGCTTGGTAGAATTCATTGGTCGGGATGGTCACAGTGGGCCCCTGGGCAGCTTCCTGAAGCTGCTTGAGCTGTCCTTCACAACCCTTCACTTTCCCATCCAGCTCCTCTAGCTTGTCACTCTTTGTCTTCAATACATCCTTAACCTCAGCCAACTCAGATTTAATGTCCTTCATTCCTGATTCCTTACCCCCAAGGATCCCAGGAAGCTGAACTGTTTCTGTTTCGCCACCAACAACACTGTCTGGCCCTGGTGGGTTATGAAGGCTGTTGAGCCACGATGCTAGCATTTTACTGGCATCATCCTGAACAGCATGTTTTAAGTTTTCATTTACTCCTGCAATGGAGGACTGAAGGTCAAGGACGGTCCTTGTAAGTCGGGAAACTTTGTCCTCAAGCACCTGTATTTTCTTGTCCTGCTGTTCCTGCAGGCCTGGCTTTGGGCCTGCTGTTTGCCTTGGTTCTGTTGTGTGCCTTGGTTCTGTTGTGTGCCTTGGTTCTGTGACTTGCTTTGGTTCGGTATCTGTTGCAAAAGTAAAATAAGACAGAACTTAAAATTTTCTGGCTTTAATCATCTTCCCCACAGCCCACATATGCACAAGTTAGATCTAACCCTTCCTTCACAAATTTCCTACTGCTGGTAAATGTATTTTATCTACTTTAAAGTCAATCAATCAGCACATTTACTAGGCACTTACTGTGTGCTAAGCAGTGCGTGAAGACATCATTTCCCACAATGAAATTATGAAAGATAGTCCCCAGGCTGCTGGTTGACCTCACTCCCTAATGCCATAGACTACAACTTTGGCCAGACCCAATATTCTTCTATTTGATGCAATTCTGCCACATGTAAATTAGTATCAATCGTCTAGTCTCTCCCTTTTCCTTAGCATTCTAGTGTGAGGATTACTAACCTCACAATACAGATGGGGAAAGCATGACATGGTTTAGAAGGAGACAGAAAAAAGGCCTCTTCAAGTGTCTCAGAAGTTGAGTGGCAGCACCTGTACCTGAAGATAGTCTTGTAATTCCTGTCCTAATCCTCTTTCTCCAAGATTGCAGTCCCCATTCTGTTTTCCTTATCAGACTAATAGATGCTTAATAAATGATTGTTAAATGACTGGATGAATAAATAAAAGGATGAACCTTTTAAAAACTGAAAAACCTTCTGTAGTAGATGCAGTCCTTAGCAACACCTTGGTTTTTTGAGGACATGTTACTCCCCTACCCTGACACTTAGAATTGTTCTCTATTGCATTTATTTTGGTAGGCAAACTTCTCAGCTTGGCATTCAAAGCACTCCACTGTATGGTCCAGCCCATCTTTTCAGACTTGGCTCCCACTTCTCTGCTATAAACTGGATTCCTTGCTGTATCTCAAAACACATGCTGCATTTCTCCCACTTCTAAGTATTTGCACATACTGCTTCTTCCACCTGGAATAGCCTCTCTGCCTACAGAAATACTATGTTGTTCAGATATTATCTTCTTTAGAATGCCTTTGCAAGTTTCTTCCAACTTACATGTGTTCAGAGGATGGAGAAGTCTGAACACCCCCTGGGCACTTAAGTCCTCTGGACCTCTTTTTCATCACTCATTTACCCAGTTCAACCTCGTACATTATTTGTGTGCTCATCTTGTATACCTTCTAGACTTTAAGCCCCTTGAGAGCAAAGACTGTGTCTTACACTTTATGTCCTGCAGAACCAAACTTTGTGCTTCCCACAATCGGTTTTCCATAAAGAACTGTTGAACCAAATTGGAAATAGATTCAGTTGGGTTTTTTTAAAAGCTCGATCTATAAATAACAAGCTTCATCTTCCAGCCCGTGAGTCATGAGTAGGCCATGGACATCACCTCCAAAGTGGGAGCTGGTGCCAAGTCACAGCTGCACGGGAAGGACGCCATCCTGTCCAGAAGTGACTAGAGCTGCTCCTTCACTCACTGCCACCATCCCCAAGAGCCAGTGCCTTCCCTCCCTAACTACTTGGTACTTACTTACATTTCTCCCTCTATTTATTCTATATATATATATATATATATATATATATATATATATATATTTATTTATTTATTCTATATATATATATATATATATACTTCAACCTGTGCTTGTCTTGCCCATTAGAATGTAAGCTCCTTTGTGAATAGAGGTTGTTTTATTGTACCCTCAGGTCCCAGCATAGTGCCTGGCACATAGTAGGCACTTAATAAATGCTTGTTGGTTGACTGATTGACTTCCTAGATACCTTAGGAAACTGTGTTAGCCAGTGACCATGTAGCCTGCCCATGAACATCTGAGGTTTTTATCCTTTACTAATCAGAAAGGGGGCTAGAGAGAGAATTCTCTTCTGTCAGTGATTATGCAGGTCCTACTCCTACAGTAAAAACCGGTTCATGTACCAGAGATTTCATAACATTACAGAATTTCAGAGTTTGAAGGGACCTTAGAAATCACCTAAGCCAGCATTTCTCAAATTAGCTTGGCAACAGAAAAATTTTTATTCATGGAATATATTAATGAAATCATAACTACTAGGGGACAATGAGGATTGGGGTCATGGAATATCCTTGCAATAGAAGATTAAGGACATCTTGTATCAAAACAAAGAAAATTAAAATGATTCTTATTCTGAAAATTTGTCATGTGTGATTTTATAATTTTCTATTTCTAATTTGTAATTTTCTATTCACTATTTTGAAAGGGAAAAATATCAATATCATTGAAATTTCCTCATAGAACGTCTCTTCCCATTGTGGGGCCTATTAGAGCTCTGTGAGTCACAATTTCAGAAATGGTTTACTAATAAGAAAGCTGAGGTTCAGAAAGTTAAGTCACTTGCCCAGAGATGGATGGGATTAATCCTAAATCCAGCTCTCCTAACTCAGTTCCATGAACCACACTCCTACCAGCTGGTCACCACAATTTTCCTTCAATCAACCAAAATTACAACTTGATGAAAATAATCAGGAAACACTTCAGATTTCAAGACTGTAGAAATTATAGTCCATGGAAAGACAGTATCATTTATGGCTGACCTAAATGTACAATTTTAGGAGTAAAATTCGTGCTGCATTTATTATTATATTGAACTTACAACACAAAGAAAATAAGCCTAAAATAAATTGGAGTTCAATGTCATAAGTACTCTACTAATGTTACCCAAAGAAAGAAAACTTTATGATAGAACAAGGATAACTTTCTTATTTTAATGCAATATCGTCTTCTAACTAAAGTAATCTGCATATTAAGGAAAACATTTAAGAATAACCACTGAGTATTCTGGACTAAGGACTAATTTAGGCAAATGTCCCATTCATTACAGAAAGATGACTCAAGTTCATTTTCCTCATGAGACTGTAGGAATTTTTTTTTTCTCCAAAAGTAACACTGAGCCCAAATCTCCCACATTTTGGAAGGCTTGTAAATACGCCTGTGAAACTGAACATGAAATCTGAGCTGAAATCATACAAGTCAAACTTGGAAAATGTGTGTCTCAAAACCAGAATCACAGAGTGTGAAGCTCTGGAAGGGACCTTTGAGCTCCCTTTGCAGATGAGGAAACAGGCAGAGAGAAGTGAAGGAATTTGCCCACGGTGATACTACTAACGAAGTACAGAGCCAAGTCTCATGACTGTAAGGCTAGTGTTGTTTCCACTATACCATGTGGGATTTGAAATGATGTTTCATACAAAAATGGGATAACTTAATTCATTTTTCAATTCAATCGAACATTTCTTAAACACCTATTCCCACTACATCCAGAGGAGGGAACTAGGTGCTGAGGGAGAGACGAAGATTAGCTGAGAAACAACAGTCTACAGATATCATAGTGGTAGATATCTCTAGGGCTGGGGGAAGAAGGGGAGGAGAGAAGGGAAGAAAAAAAAGGAAAAAAAGAAATTTACATAATAATTTTGTTGTATATTTGGAGGGAACAACAAATTGTACATGGTAGATTTGCAGCTTCTTGTGCAATCATCATTTTTGTCATACTGTTATGGAAATGTTTGTTTTGTTCTGTGAAGTAAAAATAAAATAAAATAAAAAGACACAGTGCATATCCACATGGTACCAAGTTCATCATTAAAAGAATCATTATCTTAACATAGACACTTCCTATGCTCCAAATAACTAGATGGGTTTTATGACAAATCACCTCTAACAAATCATTATTCTGCAACAAAGTCAATGTACTCATTGGAACTGCTTCAGTAAATTCAGTGACTCATGAATGTGTGTATACACTCTCCAATACTCGCATGGCATACATGCTATTTGAATTTGTCTAATCATTAAAAATCATATATTTGATCAGAAATCATAAATCTACTGATATAAAAGAGCCCAAGAAAAATCCACTGTAAGCATGTGTGCCAGGATGCAAACAAAACGTTACCTGTGGCTTTCTTCATAGTATTCCGGGGCCGGGCAGGTGTGGGTAGAGGAGATTTCACTGGCTCTTTAGGACCTTCTTGGCAGTCACCACCTTTAAACCCAGGGCAGCATCTCCATTCCAGCTGTGTGACCGTCTTGAACTTAATCGTATATCTGGGCCTGAAATTAACTCGATACCTGAAAAAGAAAAGGTCAATGATTTCCTTTATTATTTTGTTTTTAAATTACTACCCTCATTCCTAGGATTGTGTCTGAATGAGGGGACTTCTGCTCCTGTATCCAATATGATCTAGAAGGGGCTTTCAGGTTCTCCTCAGTCTAGCTCTGCCCCCTGAAGATTACTTGAAGTCAGACTCCCATGATCTGGGGAATGAGGGCAAACCCAAGCAGTTGGCCAGGTATGAATAGTTGTGATGGACCTTATCCTGTTTCTCATGGAAACTTTCTGTACCCTAAACTCTTTACTAAGGTCAAAAGAAACAGAAAACTTCTAAAAACCTTTGGCCCTCTGAACTTCTTTCCAGTCTTGACATTTATACCCTCTCTCCCCACCATCTATCTTTCTCCAACAATATTCATGGTTTCTTTGGTGGACTGTTCCATTTCTTATTCAGATTTCTAAAAATAAAGCCAGTATCTGGAGTACTTCCATAAATACAAAAATCCTGCAAACATTTCCCTATTTCCCTTACGAGAAGGTACCAGATCCAGGATGACTGGAGGTCAGATGTTAGTCAAAATTAGTTCTGGAGGTAGAAAGAAAAAGCAAAAACAGTCCTTGACATCAAGGACTTGTGGGGGAGACAACGTGCCCATAGATAGATATATACAAGATATGTACATATGTACATACAAAGCAGATGCAGAGGTAACCTTAAAGGGGAAGACACTAGGGAAGACCTTTTGTGGAAAGCGGCATTTGAACTGAAAATATCTATTATATTGTACTTCGAGCGCTAGATTCAATCAACCAACAAGCACTTATTAATCACCTCCTATGTGCCAGCCACTGCACGGGGTGCTCAGGACACAAAGACAAAAGTGATTGCTTGAGTCTGGATCAAAAAGGCTTCACTTAGATGATGGAGCTTGAGCTGAGTTTGGAAGGAAACCCAAGATTCTAAGAGGTGGGGATAAGAAAGCAGTTTGCTCCTTCTAGGCAGGGGCCAGAGCCAGTGCAAAGACATGGAGATGGGAAATGGCCTTCCTGTGTGAGAAATTGTAAGCAGTGTGAGTCATCAAAGGGTCTTGGATCTAGAGCTAGAAGAAATCTTAGAAGCCATCTAGTCCAATCCCGAAACTGAAGGCAAATTTACACAAAAGTAGTAAACATCAGAGATGAAATTTGAACCCAAGTCTTCTGACTTCAGAGCCTATGAAACCAGGTTAAATCAAATTGGGACAATTAAGGCCAGCCTACTGCTTCCTACTACTACCAAAAGGTAGTATAACAAATTCCTTTCTAACCAGGGTAAGCTAACTAAACTTTCTTGCCTTTCTACTCAAGACAGACGATGGTAAAAGATCATCTCTACTGTAAAGCAACCCATGTTGAGAGAGGTTGGGTATAGTAAGATCTTGGGCTCTGGAGACTGTCTCTCTGGAAGAGGTAAAACTCTTGAAAATGCCCCCTTACCAGCAGCAAAAACCTTAGGAGTTGGGAGTGCAAGACCAACATCTATATTTAATTGTGGGATGTGCTGGGGCCTATAATAAATTATTATTTATTTGTTTGTTTAATTATTTAATTTAATTTTATTAAATTATTTATTTTATTAAATTTTCTATTTAAATTATTAATTAATTTATTTATTTATTTATTATAATTAAGCCCTTTACTACTCCAAGATGTCCATGATCTCATGGCCATGGGTATTTGCTCCATCAGTATAGATTTCAACCTATCCAGGCCTTCTTATGCTGTGAGAGCTTGTCCAAATTCCTCCATCCGTGCCCTGTAGAGAATGTATCCAAAGTGCTAAAGGATTTTCTTTAGGTCTCAAGGCTTCCAATGCAGCATTCTGGCTGGCTGTTTTATCCCTTGTTCTTATACTAAGTGAAAAAAATAAAGATGAACTAAGAGGATCCTGACTGAACGGAGGTGGAGAGTGGGAAGGTGAAGAAACTGGAGAGGCTAGGTAGGGACCTTTGGAGTCTTTGCAGTGGGACATGGCTTGTTTACCTGCAGGTGGTGCTCAGGGTTAATTTCTGAACCTCCTGGTGCTCTGCTGAGAAGCTGCTTGGGGACAGGGCCAGAATCTACTGCAGCAATGATGGAGTGCTAATCCAGGAAGGAGGCAGGTATCTTTCCTGCCTCAGGATGAAGTGGGTACATGAGCCCAAGCTGGGTGGGAGAGAAAGGTCCACATCCACATCTCTCAGTGGTCCTACTTAATAAATGTTTGTTGAACGAATGGATAGACTCAGATATCTCTATAGTCTCTTCTAGCTCCAAAGGTTATAAATTCCTAAAAATGATGGTAACATTTCTCTGAAAGAAGAACTTCACATCTGAAGATAACTCTACTAACTGACAATGATGAATGCCACCTCCACAGGCCCAGAAAGCAGCTTTGTGTTTAATTAAAGGTGCTTTGTTCAAAGGTGCCCCCAGAAGGCTTTAAAATCAAGGGCCAAGAGGCTAGCTCTCAACCTGTCTTTCTTCTTTATCCTTCCTGCCAGCAAACAGGACTGTACAATCTGTTTCCTCATATCCATTTTTAAAAATGGGAAAATTCTGATTTGTGTTTTGTCTCTTGAAGAAAAAGAACATAGTAATATTAGGGGGTGGGAACAGTGTATAATTTCAGAAAAACTTACTGAACCCAGCCAAGTCCCTTGGACTGAGTGGGTAAAGCTGTTTGCTCTTTAATACTGCCTACCTGGCAGTATTTGAAGTAACAGAATCAGGTAAGGAAGACCAGGCCAGGCGAGGAATATCAAAGAGCTTGATGTCTCCTCCTCCAAAGAGGAGGAAAGAGAAGCCTGATCTTCAACACCTCAGACAAGGAGTGGGCTGATCTCCATCATACTGAGCCAGCACAGGCCACACTTTGTAAAATCCCTAACTTTGTAAATGCTTTTCTTCCTTTTATTCCTCCCTGAAAACCACTTACAAACTGGCTCAAAAGTGATATGAATTTCTCCTGCAGTCAATCCCAGTTCTCCTCTTGCTCTAATAGTCTCACTTTATAGCTATGGAGTCCTAGAGAATAGCAATCATAGCATTTTACCCCCAAGCTGAACATATGGAAGAATCTTCCCTGGAAAAATGATGAAGAATACACCTCACTGCCATGGGAAACATCCTGGAATTTTACTTTATTTCTTCCTAAAAAAATTAAAAATTAATCCTAGGCTTTGTTTCTGTTGTTGTTTACTAATATTATAATACCCCCAAATAAAAATTGATCATAATGAAACTGTAAATTCCATAATTTAGTGTTTTCAGATACATGTGAATGTTAATTTTAAAAGTCCTTTTCCCAAATCTCTTTCTAAATTCTTTTTCTTCTCTACATTATTAAAGTTTTATTGATATCCTTTGTTTTAATATGAGTTATTTCCCAATCTCATTCCATGTTAACTGTGAAAAAGTGGGTTAGTTCAGAGCAAACTAACCAACAAAATGACCCTATCTGACAAAGTAGGCAATACTGCTCACCTGTAATCATTCACTTCTCTACTGAGAAGAAGAAAGTATGTTTTTATAATCTGGATGTTTTTCCAGGACAAAGATTAGTCATGCAATATTATTGTCCCTTTGCTTGGCAGTTTTATGAACTCCAGGCCATGGGAAGTCCTAGTGTTTGGATGAGACCCCAGATACCTAGCCCTGGGATCCCAATTTGGAAGAGAGAATGGTAAGGGATAATCCAGCCCTATCTTTTCCATCTTTGGTGATTTTCCTAGACCTAAATGGCTTTGAGGAAACTTTTAGCTTTCTCCACCACCACAATGCTGAGCCACTATGCATAACCCCTGAGTGCAAAGGAGGGAAGACGGGAATAAAAATTGGACTCATTGCAAAATGATGACTGGGTTTTAAAACAACCCTTCCCTCCCTGCCCAGGGCAGAGCAAGGAAATATTCATCTCTACACCTCTAGGGAGCTCACCAAGGCTCAGAATTATGGGACGGTAACTGGGATCATTTTAGTCAACAGAGAACTATGAGAGCTTGGGAGATATTCATAATCCATTCTGACACATCACCTATCCAGCTTCAGGGGACTCAAAAGAAGTCCACAGAGATTCAGGGAATAACTGAATCAAAGGGGAGGGACATGTAGCTAATGGTCTCTTGGTCATAATTCATTTGATGAAACAACTGTGCTTTAACCTGGGCTCATGCCCCATCCAAAGAACACTGTGGACAACTAATTGGTTCCAGGATCACACTTTGGGACTATGAAAGATAAGGTTCAGAGAAGCCTTGGGACAGGGCTAGATGGCTCTAAGAACCTAAAGCCACCTTGAGCTTGCCCTAGAACAGACTTGAACTCTGGAATCAAACCAGAACCAATCTCCACTGGTTCCTTCAGGTCATTATAGTCTAGCGAGATAAAAACAACATTAACAATTATAACCTTATGGGATTATTCTGAACTATATACTAGGTTCCAGAAGCAGGTCCATAAGGCAAGCAGCTGTTCTTATGAGCTAAATTTCTTCCCTTGCAGCATCCCTTTTCTCTAAATGAAATGCTCTCTGCCTCTGCAATAATCAAACAATACTAATGGGTGTCTTACTCTGTTCATCTGTTCTGCAAGTTCTACAAATCTTTAAAAGTTCATTTTCTCATCTCAGTAAGAAGAATTTTACCTAGATTTCAAGCAGGTCTCTAAAAAGATGCACACAATACAAAAATATAACTAATCAGTACCTCCTGGGGATACAATCTGTGCTGAATTTCTAGTGAAAACGTCTTACTCATCCAGTCTTGGGTCTGGCAAGAAATACCTTAGAGGATGAAACTCCTTGCTATATTTTGAGAACTGCTCACCAAATCTAAAGAGTAATGGACTAGAGAAAGTGGGAAAATAAGCAAAATAAAAGTATCTCTTTCCTGCTTACTAGCGTAAATCAGACGTGTGATCTGTGAAGACAGAACTATCCAAACAGACTGGAATAATCGACATTCACGACGGTGATAAGCGTTTTGTCAAATTTGGAACA